GGGCTAGACTTGTGATTTAATTGGTATGGGGAATTCCCTCTACCAAAGTAGGTCAGAACCTTCTCTGCTATTTATCATCTTAGAAAGTTCCTAGAGTAAATAAGAAGTTAAACGACTTACCCAGGGTTACATAGCCACTATGTGTCAGAGGAAGTACTTGGACCATGGTCTTCCTACCTCTACGTTCAGCTCACTTTCCCCTACACCATACTGTGCCTTGCTTCCCCCTCTGAGGCCCCAAATTTTACCACAATGCTCTGGGTAAAATATTGCCCCCTTTCAGTTGATACTTTAAAAAACAATGACAACACTCCCAAGTTTGAACCCATTGAGTCCCTAACATTCTAATGCCAGTAACTTTACTAGATGGTTTTTCTCCTTGACAAGTAGGATGGCAATGGAAGAGCCCTAGTTATCTAGGAAAAGTTACAGGAAAACAGGGTTATTGAAGGCAAACCAACTACTTCACAATTTTATCCAGGATTTTTCCCTATAGTGGCAGTTTGGCAGAAAGGGAATAGTGTTCTTCTTCTTATTATCATTATTTTTATTTTAAGTTCCAAATTTATTCCCTCAACCATTGAGAAGCCAAGAAACATGATACTACATACAGTCATGCAAAACAAATTTCCACATTAGATATGTTAGGAAAAAAAAGCAAAAACAATTAAAAAAGTGAAAAAACTACGCTTCAATCTGCATCAGTTCTCTCTCTCTGGAAACGAATAGTATTTTTCATCATGAGTCCTTTGGAAATGTCATGGATCAATGCATTGATCAGCGTAGCAAAGTCTTTCACAATTGATCATCCTTACAAAATTGCTGTTAGTATATATAATGTTCTCTTAGTTCTGTTCACTTCGCTTTGCATCAGCTCATGAGTCTTTCCAAGTTCTTCTGAAACCACTCCTTTTTTCTTTTTTTTCCCACTTAATAGTATTTTATGTTTTCCAATTACATGTAAGGGTAGCTTTTAACATTCACTTTTATAACATTTTGAGTTCCAAGTTGTTGTTTTTTTTCTCCCTCCCTCCCCTCTCTGTACCCTCCCTCCCCTCTCCATACCTTCCCACCTCCCCAAGACAGCAAGCAATCCGACACAGGCTATACATGTACAAACATATGAAACATATTTCCACATTAGTCACGTTGTGAAAGAAGAATCGGAACAAAATGGAAAAAATCACAAGATAAAACAAAAAGAGAAAATAGTATGCTTCGATCTACATTCAGACTCCATAGTTCTTTCTCTGGATGTGGATAGCATTTTCTATCATGAGTCTTTTGGGGTTGTCTTAGATCACCGCATTGCTGAGAGGAGCTAAGTGTATCTAAGTCGGTCATCGCATAATGTTGCTGTTACTATCTACAATGTTCTGGTTCTACTTCACTCAGCATCAATTATGTCTTTCCAGGTTTTTCTGAAATCTGCCTGCTCATCATTTCTTACAGCACAACAGTATTCCATTACACACAACTTGTTCAGCCATTCCCCAATTGATGAGCATCCCCTCAGTTTTTTCAATTCTTTGCCACCACAAAAAGAGCAGTGATAACTATTTTTGTACATAGGTACATAGGTAGCTAAGAAAACTAAAGCAACTCCATTTTGTCTGGAGTTCCTCTGTCTTGCGCTGACCCTACTTGTTTTGCAGCTCCCTTCTGCAATCTTCCTTTCTACCGAGATAGCAAGTCTGAAATAATCCTATCTATTAGGGCAGAGTTACAAGAGACAGCTAACCTGAAGAAGAGCCTTTCCTGTTATTGCCCCAGCAAGAGGCCTGTTCAGTCAAGGGATATCACATCCTCTATTCCTACCCCACAAGCCCCCAGCAATAGTCCTGTCCAATCCAGAGGTAGCCCACACCCAGTTAGCCTCCTGCCTAAACTGAAACCTACATAAGCTTTGTCCTTTTGTTCCTTTCAGTAGTCTCCACCTGTGCAGGTGGGGTTCCATCATAAACCTTCATTGCTTCCTAAATTTCTGGTTCTGATTATGTTTCTGGTTCACTGTGGCACTGACAATTCTATCCATTGTCTTTTTCCTTTTATCTCTTTGGGGTATAGATCTAGCAGGGGTATTACTGGGTCAGAGGTTTGCACAGCTTTATAGCCTATTGGCCAAAGTTCCAAATTGTTCTCCAGAATGGGTAGCCTCATTCACAACAAAACCAACAGTGCACAAAGGTCTCAATTTTCCCATATCCCTTCTAGCATTCATCATTTTCCTTTTCTGTCACCTTAGCCAATCTGATAAGTATGAGGTGGTACTTCAGAGTTGTTTTAATTTGTATTTCTCTAATCATTAGTGATTTAGAGCATTTTTATATGACTATTGATAGCTTTGATTTCTTCTTCTGCAAACTGCCTGTTTGTATCCTTTGACCACTTATCAATTGGGGAATGGGTCTTATTTTTAAAAGAGTATTGTTCTTTAGTAACATTTGCCCTTTATGTAACAACTTAACTTTAAACTATAGGTGTCAACAACAACAAATCATAGCAAATCAAAAAGCTACAGATGTTAGAGCACTGGCCCTGGAGTCAGGAGGACCTGAGTTCAAATCCAGTCTCAGACACTTGATAGTCACAGCTCTGTGACCCTGGGCAAGTCACTTAACTTTTGTCTGCCTCTTTCTTCAACTGTAAAATGGGTATCATAATAGCATGATGATCATCACAGGGTTGTTGTGAGGATCAAATAAGATATTTGTAAAGTGCTAAGGACAGAACTTGGCATACGGCAGGTACTTAATAAATGCTTACTCCCTCTCCCCTTTGAACCTTTACTTCCATTCAAGGCTTAGCTCAGGGGTCACATTCAACATGAGGCCTTTCCTGATTCCCCCCAATTATTTTGTATTTTTTTTTTTAATTTTCTTATCTGCATATGTTTATCCTCTTCAGGAGAGGTAAGATTCTTGAGAGCAAGAACTTTTCATTTTGCTTTCTATCACAAGTGCATAGCAAAGTGCACAACACATAGTAGGAACTTAAATGCTTGTTAAATTGAAGCCAAGCATTAGTACTCTAATTAATGGTCTAAGCAACAGTGGAGCCTAAAGAGGAATCAACACTTGGCAGGCCTCTAAGTATTTTCCTTCAAATGAAAGTTCTGGGAGCAACCAGCCGATCAGAGGAAGGGGCTACAGGTCAGAATGTACTTCCAGTGTGAGAAGTCCAAGGACAAAGTTAGGGATGTGTTACAGCCAGCTCAAAATGACTAGCTCTTGAAAACAGACAGTTCAATTTTCACTGTAAGCCTTCACACCCTTGAAGTCAGCAAATGCTATAAATTAGGACTTGATTTCTTATTTTGTTGGTGTTCTAGACTTAAGAAGTGATGGAGAAACTATTAAAAATGAAGATTAAACATAAGGGTATGTCACATGTACATTTTCTTCTCAGAGAACCAGTTGTTAAAATATTTACCAACACATCAGTGAGTTGAGTGAATTTCCAGGTTCAATAGGTTTCTTTAAGCATAATTAAGTGCAGAGTCAGGAATGGAGCCTAGGGAGGAATGAAGACATGACAGGCCTGAACACTCTCCTTAAAATAGAAGTTCTTCCTAACTAGATTGTAAGCTGTTTTAAGATTAGGGATCATATTTTCTCCCACAGTGGCAAGTAAAAAGCCTTACACATAGGCTATTTGGCTTTTACTCAATCTAGGTCCATAAAGAGAAGCATCCTGTAGCAGCAGATAAAAGGACTGGTTTGGGAGTAACAAAGACCTGGGTCTACATCCCACATACTACCAGGGAAGCCTAAGATTCTTCGTTGCTGAAGAGCTGCCAATCTACATTGGAAAAAATTGATTTTCTTATGATGACATCACAGGTCCAGAACAAAAAGCAAAAACAAAACACTCCCCAAAAGTCCTAGTCCAACAGTTTCATTATGGCATGGGAATGACCATGGGCTCTCATAGGCTCTTAGCATGGAATAAGCTCAGACACAAAAGGCCAAGTGACAGACTGTGAGAACCACTAAATCTGTTCAAAGGCTGATTACTAGCTTAGCCATCAAATTGTTTTTGGCCACGAAACTCATGAAACCATTTACAGTAAGGCATTGAGCACCCCTATTGCTGAAACAAGAAGTACACTGTCCTATGTAGCTACATTGTAGAAGTCAAGTACCCAAATTTATCCAGTCAACATAACATAAATAATGGTTTTAAACTTCCACTATCTTATCAGAGCCAGTTTTAGAACTCGAGTCCTCTGCTTTTCTCATGCCAGAGAAACATATGCAAAGGCCGTAAATCCATTGGAAAATCTAATACAGATAATGGCTCTGTAAGCTTCCTTTTTTCCAAAGACTAAGAACCATCCCAATGAGCTGTGAACCCCTTCTGCCTTCTCAAGCTGGAACTTCTCTCTGCCATACCAGCTTCTTTCTCCCATTGGTGAGTTCCTTCCATTTTGATGTTTCACCCAGGCCTCTCTTCTGTGCTTCTCTCTGCATGTCCTCTTCCCTGCTTTCCAGCTTCCATATTTTGCCTTCCCCCATTGGAATGCAAGCTCCTTGAGGGCAGGGTCTTTTTTCTTTTTGTCTGTAAAACTGGCATATAGTAAGCACTTAATAAATGCTTGTTGTTTGCCTACTGTCCTCGAGACTATCCCCAGTATCCTTTTAATTGCCTGACATATCAGAACAGCTAGATCTGCCTCTACTGAGTCTCTGAAACATTAGGACTGTCAGATTACCCTGCAGTGTCATCAACCTTATCCTAATATTCTTCCTATAACATATCATCACTCCCTTTACTTATAGAATGAGGACTCAAGATTTACTGGATTTAAGAGTTAGAAGGAACCTGAGCCCAGAGGTTAAGTGACTTGCCCAAGGTCATAGGTAGTGTGACCAGAGCCAGGTTTCAAACTCTGTCCTTTGGCTTCAAATCCGATACTCTTTCCACTACACCAAGGTAGCCACCCTGCCCCTTGCCCCCCCTCCAACAACTCCCACTACCACATACCAGCAGACAACATAAAAGGTTCATCATGCACTGTGGTTTATTAATCTTCTCTCATGCTCATTTCAATCTTTTCTCCTTAAAGCTGGGACTAAAAGTTTTGTTTGGGGTGGGAAAGGTTCAGGGGACACACTAAAAATAGGTCAGGGAGGCAGCAGTAGGGAACAAAATGCCGACCCTAAACCATATTATAGAGTTTGAGACTATGGCCAATTTCTACACAGAAAACATTTCTTTACTTAGTGAAATCTTTTCTATCTTATGAGGGATAATTAGAGGAAATACTGAAAAATGCTTCATTTAGAAAAGAAAAAAGATGATTAATATTTTGGTGCAAAATTTGAAAATCGTTTTCACCCCAGGCAACCTCTCAGATTTAACTGCCTTAGCCTCTCTAATTGAAAAGACTGTAGTTGACATCATTTTGACAAAGAAAGGTCTTAACACTCTTTTAAAGTGAAGACAAAAGCTGATTAGGAGTCGAGAAGACTTGTCCAGGTTAGGCTGCAGATCCTGTTTGGTAGTGTACATACATGTTATATTAAAAATTACTTAAAATGGTTAAACACTAAAAAGCAGCTCAGTTATTTTAACGTGACCTTTAAACTAAGTATTCCAATATACATAGCCTTTGTTTGTATAATGTGCTCATGATTCTGTTGTCATTTTCCATAAAGTCAAATGTCATTGTAGAGACATAACCCACACTTTCCTTTATGACGGATTGTGCTTCAGGAGCCATGACTGAACAAGATTTGAAGACAGGGCTTTTGGGGAGGTGGTTTGGCCACCTAGGGCCAGTGAAATGCTCATGCATATATGGTCCTCTGTGTTTAAAAGGCACCCATGCTCCACCAGAGCCACCTTAATTCTCTAGTCTCTGAAGGACTAGGTAGAAATTTCAGAGGTGGATGTCAGCCTAACAATTAGCGAGCTATCCAAAAGGGGAATGGATTGCCTCAGGAGGTAGTAGGTCCCCATCACTGGAGGTCTTCAAGCAGAGGCAGCATGATCACTCATCTGGGAGGCTGTAGAAAGGATTCCTATTCAGATAGAGATTGGATTAGATGACCCCTGAGGTCTCTTCCAACTCAGATTCTGTAAGGAAGATGATGCCAGACAAATGTTTTTATGAAGATGTGATTTTCCTGCAATGGTCCTTCTTCACGAGTACTTGATTCTGAAGAAAGTAAAGCAGGCCATACGTGTGTCACGTTTGGCAGCTTCTACTCTATCTCTTCTTCTTGGTTTCCTTCTTGGACTTTTTGCTTTGAGAAGGAGCAGCCCCTTTTGGCTTCTTGGTCACCTCAAATTTTCTTGGCTCAAAATGTCCCCCTTCCTTCAATGGAGAGAAGAGAAAGAAATAGGATTTTACTGATCAATTAAGTTTGGAATTTGCCAGTTAAGCCAACCTAGGAGAGGCTAACTTGAAGCAGGAGATATGCGGAACTCAACCTGATTAGGAGAAGAAAAGACTTGTCCAGATTCAAATAGAATGGTTTCCAGAAATTGTGCAGTGAATTTGTGTATAGTCAGTGTCTGTTACTGCATCAAGTGTTTTTGCTTAATCATTTTTGTTCAATCTGGAAAAGGAAAGGGAAAATTTCTCCAAGAAATAATTATGATACAAAGACAAAATGATACAAATAAAAATTATTTCTTTTAAAAATACAAAAATTTAACAATGTTGGAAGTTCCCAATGTGCAAATTTGAAACTTTTGCAGCTTTTACTTATGTGGCTCTCTTGTCCCAATAGTCTCCTATTCCTTCCTCTTGACCTTTCTTTCCCTCACCCCTCAACATATAGATATCTCTATATGGCTAAAGATTTCTTGGTGGGATGTATAATTGATATCATATTGCTTGCCTTCTCAATGTGAAGGGTAGGGGCTGGAAGGAGGGAGAGAATTTGAAACTCAAAATATTTTTTAAAAAAGGAATATTAAAAATAAATAATTTTTAAAAATTCCTTTGTGGCTAAATCCTAAACCTGGAAAAGACCTTAGAAGTCACCAAATCCAACCCTCTAATTTTCAGAATAAGGAAGCTAAAATCTTTATAGGATAAGTGATTTACCTAAGGTAGCAGACCAAGACTAGAATTCAGATCTCCCGATACCTAGTTTATTGTTCTTCCCACTACATTTCTGCTGCTTCTTTACTCCGTCCCACCACTGTCCAAGCACGTTCTCTGCCCCAGAGCTATGGACTTCTGTTCCTTTACTGCCACAGGGTGACTGATCCCAAGAGAGGCAGAAAAGAGCAGCAGACTACACATTTCCAGTTGCTATATAGAAAGGGTTCCTAAAACTCTGCAAAAGAAGTTCCACAACAAAGAACCTTCAGACTGAAAAAATGTTTATGAAGCCAATCCACCAAATACATACAGACTACCTTGCTTTCCAGAAAAATCCATGAAAAAGTTATTTATAACGCATGCTAGCTGAAAATATAGTTAACTCCTAAATACAGAAGTTGGGTTCAAATGTTTCTGAAGCTTGAAACTATGCCTTTGCGGCCTGCTGAAAATGATTTGTAGCTGCATGGCCTCTTAAAAATAAGACCTGATTTACTCTCTAAATGTTGTAATTTATGCAGAAAGAACCCACAGAAATATGCCAGCATTCTCATGGGAATGAAGCAACCTGCTCTGTTATTCATGGGGAAGAGCTTGTTACCTTAGGTAAATCACTGCTGCCTTCTAATGTTCAATATGAGATGACTAAACAAAGCTAAGAGCTTCATCATGGCTGGAGCCAGAGCTGTCTGGAATTCCATTCAGATTAAGAGGCAGGTACTACCATTTTCATAACCATGGCACAGTAATTCTTGTTTATCATCCTGTAAATCAAATATCTTGTTCCTAGTTTCTCTAATAGTGCAAAAAATACTTGTGCAAAAGATAAGCAGGGCACAAACATGTGCCTGTGTGCATATAAACATGTCCACACATTAGGAGAAAAAGGAGCCTACGTGTCTTAATTCCAATTCTGATAGTCCATTTAAATTAACTATATAATCTACTTCCAAATTCCACTTGCTCTCAGTTTATGCTTGAATCTCGAAAAGTCGCTAGAGCCATAAGGAACAATTCCAGATCCCACACACAATTTTCCAAATGTCTGTGGCTCTAGAAACATTATCATAACCTCTGTAACCCCATCATTTTGTGGGTCCTTTACCCTGAAGGACTTGCTTGCATAGTAGTTATTTCTATACAGATATTTCACCAAAAAGAGCCATTTCTTCCATGAATTCTAGTGAACTTTTCCTGCAATGGAAGAGAATACAGCAACAACAAACTCTTAAGAGTTTATGTCAGTTGAGAATTATGTCAATTCAGAAGTTCCTAACCTGGGGTTCATGAATCCAAAAAGAGTCTGTGCATAGACTCTAAGGGGTCCACGAACTTGATGGAAAAAATTGTATCTTTATTTTCACTAATCTCTAACTGAAATTTAGCATTTCATTTAATTGTTTTAAAATATCATCCTGAGAAAAGGTCTATAGACCTTTAAAATAATTGAACAAAATAGACTTCCTCAGTCTGCGAAAGGGTCCAAGATCCAAAAAAGTTAAGGACTCCTAAGCTAGTTGCTGTGAGGGGTACAAAAATGTACAAATACAGTGCTCTTTTACCTCAAGAAGCTTAACTGTCTAAATGGGGAGATAAGACATAAAAAAATTAAATAATAATTTTAGCTCATAGTAGAAGAGTTATATCAGAGATAGAGCATATATAACTGTACAGATCATAACTGCTATAGGATTGAGAGGAAAAAGAGATTGCTTCACTTTAGGTTGAGGTGATCAGCCTCAGTTGATTAATTTAAGAGTTTGAGTGATCTTGAAAGATAGATACCAGAGCTACCTCCAACCTTCTCTACCATTTATTCCTTTTAAAAAAATATTTTATTTTCAGTTTCAAATTCCCTCCTTCTTACCTCTCCCTCTCTTACCCATTAAGGAAGAAAAACAAAACCTATTACAAATGTGTAGTCAAGCAAAATAAATTCCTGCATTAGCCATGTCCTGATGTGGGCACCCTCTGCATCTGACATCTCTCTATATGTTTCATCATGAGTCCTCTGGAACATGGTTGGTTCCACTGCACTGATCACAGTTCCTAAGTCTCTTAAAAGTTGTTTTTCTTTGCAGTAATGTTGTTATTTCTAGCACTCATTCTTCTTAACCCATTCTTCCACCACCTCTTGCCACCAAGATTCTACCCTCTGCCCTCTCTACTCTACTAAACTTGAACGACCTTTTCCCTCAGCCTTCATCCATGCTTCAGGTTTGGTTGGACCTTTGAATCTTTAAACTGAAACCTATGATTTTGTGTTTCTTAGTAAACTAGACAAAAAAGTACTAGGAAATCAGTGACTGGGGGGGGAAGAAGCCTAAAATAAGTATACCACTTTTTAAAGCTTGCTAGTGCTCTGAATAACTTATATGTCATTAAGAACAAAATCAGACTAAACTGTTTCCTTGTTTCATCTCATGCAAAATGAAATCTCTAAGCCTCTGGTTTAATGAAAAGGTAAAGTTATTTTAGTAAACAAAATTGGCTTAAAACTTCATTTAACTTTACTTTTTGTATTTTGTGGGAAGGTATGTCTTGTTCTGATATATTAATCAATTCTCAACAACTCTGCCCCCCAATATCGAATATGATACTTGAGATGTGGTCTGATGTTCTCTATCGGCTGCTTGTTCTTAGTAGCTATCCCCTTCAATATAGTTCAAGATCATGTTAGCTTTTCTAGCTGCCATATCACACTGTTGACTCATACTAAACCTGGAATCCACAAAAACCCTCAGATCTTTTGCAGACGAAGTTCTGTCTAGTCATACCTCTTACATCTTATACTCATAAAGATGATCTTTAGAACCCAAGTGTAATATTTTTCATTTGCTCCTATTAACTTTTATCTTATTAGATTTGGCCAAATGATGTAGCTTGTAAAAATCTTTTTGGAGCTTGACATACAGGTGTAAGCTATCTCTTCCAGCCTGTTATTAATTAACCCTTTCTTCTCTTCTCCTCACTCTCTTTTCCTTAGTACAGTTATCCAGTTCACCAATAAGCTAAAGATTGCTGATTCCATTTCTCTGCCTATAAAACAAAAATATTAATCACTTTGCTCCCCTGAGGCTGTAAAGAGAATTCAATCCATTACTAAGAACAATAAAAATGATAGCAGTGTGCCTTGCATGGATTAGACACTTAGTAAATGTTTATTGAACGAATTATTTTTATGTATACATAGTACCTTCCCATGAAAAATTAAGCAATATCCTAACACAGGGATTGTAGTTACAATTTTTATTTGGTTTTCAGTTCTATAAAACTGGTTCATTCTTCCACCCTGAAAAAAGAGAGAAAGGGACTAAGGAGAATGTATGTGTATGAGAGTACCAAAGTGTTGCAAAAAATCTTGTCTATACAGACAGGCCAGGCAAGAGGAAAACTTTTAGATAGTATACTGGGCCTCTAAATAAAAATCACTCTGTAGAAGTGATTATGTTCTAAAATTCATAGAAATCCAGAATTTCAGCACTGCAAGGAACTCCAGCTCACACCTGAAAAATAAAATTTATTCTACAACTTAAAGGAGTAGTGGTCATCTAGCCTTCACTCTAAAACCTCTGATGAAAAGAAACCCATGATCTTCTGAGGCAGCACATTTCACTTTTAGAAAACACAATTGTTAGGAAATTTGGCTTAACCTAGAACCCAAATCTCCTCTGTGCAATTTCCACCCAATACTCCGAGTTCTGCCTTCTGCAACCAAGCAGAACAAACCAAACCCATCTTTCAAATTGGGTTTTCTCTTTCCAGGCTATCCATGGTTTCTTCAAATGATCCTCACATACAGCATGCCCACACTGGCTGCCTCTCTTCCAGACAAGCACTACTTTATAAATGTCTTTCTTCAAATATGGCCTCCAGAACCGAATATGATACTTGAGATGTGGTCTGATGTTCTCTATCGGCTGCTTGTTCTTAGTAGCTATCCCCTTCAATATAGTTCAAGATCGTGTTAGCTTTTCTAGCTGCCATATCACACTGTTGACTCATACTAAACCTGGAATCCACAAAAACCCTCAGATCTTTTGCAGACGAAGTTCTGTCTAGTCATACCTCTTACATCTTATACTCATAAAGATGATCTTTAGAACCCAAGTGTAATATTTTTCATTTGCTCCTATTAACTTTTATCTTATTAGATTTGGCCAAATGATGTAGCTTGTAAAAATCTTTTTTGGAGCTTGACATACAGGTGTAAGCTATCTCTTCCAGCCTGTTATTAATTAACCCTTTCTTCTCTTCTCCTCACTCTCTTTTCCTTAGTACAGTTATCCAGTTCACCAATAAGCTAAAGACTGCTGATTCCATTTCTCTGCCTATAAAACAAAAATATTAATCACTTTGCTCCCCTGAGGCCGTAAAGAGAATTCAATCCATTACTAAGAACAATAAAAATGATAGCAGTGTGCCTTGCATGGATTAGACACTTAGTAAATGTTTATTGAATGAATTATTTTTAACATACAATAATACATAGTACCCGTGAGATGAGAATAAAGCAGGATGAGACCAAATGTCCTATGGATACTGACAATTTAATGTGGGGAAAGAGGGAGGTCCTCAGGCATGATCATCACAGATCTACTTCTTTCCCAAATATATAGTGTATGTACAGGGAAATGAAAAATTATTACTAACATCCCTTCAGTTCCTACAAAGTGCTTTCCTAATAATAATCCTAATGCAGGTACTATATAAATATTATTATCCTTCATTTTACAAATGCAAATAATGAGGCTCACAGTGGTGAAGGGACCTGTCCAAGCTGTTGTTACATGACCAATAAGTGGTGGAATTAGGACTCAAACCCAGGGCTCTTTCTACTACTACAAAATGCTTTTTATAATAATGAACATAATAATAAACTAGGAAATCCACAAATTATTCATATTCATGGTCAATATCCATGATATTTCTATAGCAGGCATTTGAAAGATGTGCTAAATATATAAAACCTACCACCCCTACCCTTAAGGAGTTAATACTCCACGCCCCCACCCCCAAAAAAATTACTTACCCCTTCATGAGACTTCGAAATGGGGAAGATTATGGCCAGTACACAGATAAGCTGGAAGATAGCCCCCAAAAACAATCCGTAACGAAGAAGATTCTCTAGGAAAGTAGGCTCCGGGACCTCAGGGGGAGAGAAGTTCAGCTCAGCAGCCATACCCAAAGCAGTTCCTGGTCTCCTTTTATTTCACTCAAGAACTTAAATTCTAAATTAAAGCAAAACAAGTTTCAGCAATGTCATTTTCTGCTAATGTGCTACCATACCCTAAGGCATTTAGATAACAAATGAACATGTCTATGAGTGCCTCAGAACAGGAAAATCGATGTATTTTCTCCTATGGCCTGAAAACTTTGTGGTATTTTTTACAACACATAATGTGTGACTAGAAGGTGACAATAATTTTTTTTTAAAAAACAAGCATACCATTCATTCACTCAATAATTATTTATTAAGGGTTTACTTTACGCAAAGCACTCAATAGGTTTTAGGGGAAAAACAATCATGAGATGTGGTCCTGCCCTTATGAAACTTAACAACCTAGGCAAGAGGAATAATACATCTACCCAAATGTGAAATACTATTTGATGGAGTAACTACACCAAAGACATCATGGATGTTTCGGATATTAAAGTAGGATCACAGGATAACAGTAGAATTGACAGGAATTTAATTCTTCCTCATTTCCTATACACAGTTATAAAGATAGCACCAAGGTTTTAAACCTACATAACTGTGTGAAAGTGATATCATTGACAGGAATAAGGAAGTCAAAAGGAGGAATTAGTTCTGGGGGACAAGATAATTAGATTCAGTTTTAGACACACTGAATTTGAGGAACTGCCAAGATATTTCAGCAAAGATATCCATGAGAAAGTTGGAAATGAATATCTGTAAACCTTGAAGGACTGGAGTTGAAAATAGAGGGTGTTCTAAAAGTCTTATTGCAGTTTTAAGCTATTTAAGCTATCAAAGCTTAAAACTTTAAACTCTAAGACTTTGAGGACACCCTGTATAGATCTGGGAGTCATCTAAGTGAGGGACTAATAAAAATAACAATTTATTTAAGCACTTTATTCATATCGACCCTGTGAGGGACAATGCAAATATCATTATTTTCATTTTTGGATGAGATAAATGAAACTCAGCGTAGTTCAGTGAATTGTTCAACGTCACAAACCAGGAAGTAATCAAATTCAGATTCAAACACAGGTCTCTCCTGACTCTAAGCTTGGTACTCTTTCCACTAACACCATACTCCTCAGGAGTAGCAATCTGTCACATGATATGGATGTGGATGTGGGAGAATACGGCTTAAGAGAACCTCACTTTATGGAGCTGAGAAGAGGAATCAGTGAAGCGATCACAAAATCCCAAGATTTCATAGCTGGAAGGAGTTCAGAAGACATCTAATTCAACTTAACTATGAAGATAAATTTCCTCTACGATAACAGGCATTTATGTAGCACTTCAAGGTTTGTAAAACATTATATACATATACATATATATACATACATATATGTTAACTCATTTGATCCTCAGAACAAACCTGGGAGGTAGGTGCTTCCATTATCCCCATTTTACGGGTGAGGAAATTGAGGCACACATAGATTAAGTGACTTGCTCAGAACCACACTGCTAGTGTTTGAGGGTGAATCTGAACTTAGGTCTTCCTATGCCCAAGTCCAGCATTCTATCAACTGTACAAACTAGCTGCCCTGATAAATTATATTCTCAATAAATGGCCATTCAATCTTCACTTGAAGAATTTTTGTTTCCATATGTAGTCCATTTCACTTTTGGACAGCTCTAATTATTATCAACTTCTCTGCAACTTCCATCCATTGTTCCTAATTCTACTCTGCGGAGCCAAGCAGGATGAACCTATCCCTCGCTACATAACATTTCAAACACTTGAAAACAGTTATCATGCCACTCTCAAGTCTTCTCTTCTTCAGAATAAATATTTAATGGCAGGATGCAGAAGGACTATCAATCATCCTTATTCTATAGATAACACAACACTCAAGAAGGCTTAAGACCACTTCAAGTGCCATGTCGCACTTGACTTATTTTCAGGGCATTAAAACCTTCAGATCTTTTTCACAACATGACTGACTCTGGAAATAATAATCCTCTAAAGGACAAGGCCCTTATTACATGGAACAAGCAATGAAGCTAAATGACCTGTCATATTCTAGATCCAATCCCCCATTTACCAAGCTTCGTAATCATGGGCAACTCACTTTGACCTGAGTCTGTTCATTCGTGTATAAAACGGAGATAATAATACATTCCCTACCCACCTCAGGGTTACTCTGAGGAAAAATGATTTGAAAGCCTGAAAAAGAGACACTCGTATCACACTAGTTAAATCCATCTTGCCTCACAATTTTTTTTTCTTTCCTTCTTGACAGACTATCAATCTATCAGTATGGCTTATACAGAGAAGCCAATTTAGTGTAAAGAAAAGTATAAAAAAAAATAAAAAAATAAAAGGATAGAAAATTGTGTTTGGAGAATAGAATTTTGTAGTTCATGAGAATGTGCTTATACAATCAAATTTAAGTGATGACCCTTCAAAGTCATCACCTTAAAAGCTAAAAAATCAATCCAAAAAAGTCAAAATATGTCTGTAACTCTATTTTTAGAATCTGTGGCACACTCTTTTGAACATCCTCGGTAGAACTTCTTTAGAAATTGGCTGCCAGACCTTGGGGTAAAAGTCACTTAATGGCCAGATTCAATGAAATCCATGGGCTTTAGGACATAGAAAATTAGAACTGGAAGAGACTCTACAAGACAGAACATACAGGCAGTTCAGTATAGAAAGAAAAGCATATGGAATCAGGAAAACGGAGTTCTAGACTTGGTTCTTCCACTCACTAGCTTCATGACATGCCAGGCAGCTAGGTGACACAGTGGATAGAGCACTGGACTTGTAGTCAGAAAGATCTGAGCTTAAATTCAGCGTCAGACAATTACTAGCTGTGTGATCCTGGACAAGTCCCTCAACCTCTGTCTGCCTCAGTTTCCTCATCTGTGAGATGAGAATAATAACAACACCTACGTCTCAGGGTTGCTAGAAGAATAAAATGAGATAATAATTGTAAAATGTTTTGCCAGATGTAAAGCACTCTATAAATACTACTAGCTATTATTTTTATTAACAAGTCTCTTATCCTCTCCGGGCCTCAGTTTCTTCGTCTGTAAGACTGGATGAGATAGCCTTCACGATCCCTGCCGACTCTAATATCCGATGTGGTCCTCAGCGGAAAGGGCTTAGAGATTATGGGATTTAGGGTCTGAAAGGAATCTTCAAGAGCACCTAGCTCAAGGCCACCTCGTCTTACAGGAGTGTAAACTGAGGCTTTAAATTATTCACTAGAAAACAGATCCCGAGGGCAAAGAAAATGTCCGAGAGCCCCAAAGGCATCAGAGCCAAGGCCGGCTGGCTCCCCTTGGGGAGAAGTGACCTAAGGGGAGGGGGCGTGCCAGGATTCGCTCCCGTCGCTTCGGGGCGGCCCAGGCCTGTCTTCCCCGCCCAACATTCCCAAACCCTAGAGGGGCCGACCCCGCCCGCCGCCTCCCGCTGCGGCCTCACCCGAGGCGACAGCGCTTGGCCTCAGCGTCCCCGCTTCCCCCGGAGGCCCGGGTTCCCTCAACCTGCAGTCCCCCGGCTCCGAGTCCCGAGCCCGGTCGATAACTCACCGACCCAGTGCCCCACTCCCGCAGCCGAACTTCCCTCCGGAAGTGAGGAGCAGCTCCGCCTCCCTCACGCGGCACGGACCGGAAATTACGCAATCCTTAGCAGGCGGGTCTTGGGCGCCAGGAGGCGTTGCTAGGCGCGGTCGTTGGGAGTTAGAGATGCGGGGAGGGAGGACAGCTGGGTCGTATGCGGCCTTGGGGTTTTTGTTGTTCAGGGGATCATAGGATCGTACACTTAGATCTGGGAATGGACCCAGAGGCCGTTTAGTCCAGCAGCCTCATTTTACAGATGAGGAAACTGAGGCCCAGCGCGGTGAAATGACATCCCCATAGTCACTCACGTAGTTAATAACAGAGCTAGGATTTCCCATGTTTATTTTATTTATTTTTATTTGTTTGTTTATTTATGAGGTTGATGGGAATTTATGAAGTTGGAGAAACCCCACTTCTTAACTGTGTAACCCTGGGCATTTTATGTAAGCTCTCCATACCTGTTTCTTCAACTTTAAAATCTAAATTTTAGAGTTGGATTGTTGGGCCTCTTAAGGCCCCTGCCTTCCCCGAATACGGAATCCAGGGCCTTAGAATAAGAGTAATCGATAGTTATAGAGCGCTTTTACATGTGTAAAGGATCCCATCAGGTTGTATAAGACTGAGCAGTTTAGCATAGTTAAAAGATCAAAAGCCTTTGTTTACACCTCTTCCAATAGGTGTGATCATTGATGGGCAATTCAAATCTGACTGGTCCTGGAGGCCTAATCAAAGCCCCTAACTAGGAGTCCCTCACCTGGCTAGGTTCATAGATTTAGAGCTGAACCAGGGGTTCTCAGGGAGGTAATGAATTCTGAGCTTCTCAATTTACAGGTGAGGAAAGTGAGATCCAAAGAAATTAAATGGTTTGCCCAAGGTACCAAAGCACCTAAATGGTAGAGCTTGGATTTGAAACCAGGGCTTCTGATTTCAAATCCAGTGTCCTTTTCACTACACCACACTGGCTAGGAGGGAAGAAGGATAATTCTGGTTACAGCCTCTAAAATTACATCATTTAATTTGAGCCTTGAAACAACAACTCTTGAGTTACTTCCTGTCTGTATTTTACAGAAGAGGAAACTGAGGATCAGAGAGAGCCTTGCCCATGGTCATACAACTAGTAAGTGTCAGAGCCAGGATTTAAACCCAAGTCCTTTTAAAAATTGATACCATTTGTTTTCAAATTATCTCCCTTTCCCAATGTATTACTTTCCCTTACCCCTCACATAGAATTATCTCTTATAACAAAGAAGAAAAAAAAAACAACCAACAGTTTATCAAAATTAACCAACTCATCAACCAAGCCTGATATTATATACAGTGTTCCTTGCCTGATGTCCTTCACCTCCGCAAAGAAGATGGAGGAGGTGCATTCTGATATCTCTTCTTTGGGGTCAGGCTTTGCCATTGTGATTTCGAAGCATTCAATTTTGATTGTTTTACTATTGTTCTTTTCGTTTACAATGTTGCAATAATTTTTATATTGTTTTCCTGTTTCTGTTTATTTCACTTTGCATCAGTTCATACAAAACTCATGCTTCTATATTTATCATATTTGTTGTTTCTTAAAGCACAATAATATTCCATTACATTCATATACCACAGTTTGTTTAGCCATTTCCCATTCCTTGGGCACCTGCTTTCCTATATCCTTGACCTCCTTAAGGGTATATGCCTGGTAGAGGGATCTATGGAATCCTGGTCTTTCCAAGTTTAACACTCTACACACCACACCATGCTGCCTCAATAAATGTTGACACATAGGCTATCAGAGCTGGAAATGACCTTAGATATATCCAACCCTTCAGAGTCACAGAGCAAGCAGCCAGGAACCCATCATCTAATTCAATTCAATAAGCATATATCAGTCAACAAGTAGAAAGTTTCTGCTATGTGTCAGGCACTGGAGATACATGTATAAAGAATGAGAAAATCTCTACTCGCAATGAGTTTATATTCTAATGGGAAAGACAAGTATACATAAAAATATAAAGGGGATAAATTTAAAGTTAATAAGTACACATATATGAGGCAAGAAGATATTCTGATGGAGAAACAGCAGCATATACCAGGCAAGTCGACCCACCACCACAGCCAAGCACAATGAACCCAAGAGAACTGAGAATAGCAATGTCTCCCAAATCACCAGCCGTTGTTGAGTGGACAAATCATGAAGAAGGAGCCTGCCTTTGTCATCACCAGCAACAACTGCTGACCAGCTACCACCAATAGGCAGATTAGCACAAGAGTCCAGGGAGTGGTAATACTCTTCAGAACACTAGTCCTGCATCTAGCCAAGCCCTTACAGTAATTCAAGGAAGTAATTCCTGTGCAGAAGGGGCTAGCCATACTTACTAGCTGTCACTCACAGAGCAGTCAAGTCAACATGTGCCAGACTACTCAAATCACCATCATAACCTTGACCATTATCTCCCCTCAGACCTCAGTGGATACAGGCCAGGATTCTGAACCAAAAAGCTTTGGAATAGTATTGCTTCCAGCCCATGGCCCTCAACCATCATCTTGGAAAAAAACTCTTGTGAAGAGGAAGACTGGCAACTGCTACAGCTACAGTTACTGAAGGTCCAAAGTCCTTGTCACAGTCAAATGGTTCAACATCAGAAACTGATGTGATATTAGTGGAAATGACATTAAAGAAGAGACATTACCATATGCTTTGCTGTTGCATCCTAAAGACCATGAGACTTTTCCATTTGACTTGCAGCTGAAATCTCCCATTTGTATCATCTCCCCCATTAGAATGTGAGCTCGTTGAGAACAAGGACTGTCTTACTTTTGTATTTGTCATACCCAGAGTTTCACATAGTTATTTGCATAGAGTAATTGCTTAATAAATGCCTTATTAATTCATTCATTTATTATATATACACATATACATTTACAAGGTAGCTAAATGCAAGGCAATTTGAGAACAAAGGCATTAGTGTTTGAGAGGATCAGAAAAGTCTTCTTGTGGAAAATAGTGACTGAGCTGCATCTTAATGGGAGAGATAATCTATGAGGCAGAGGCAGGGAAAGCACATTCCAGGGATGGTGGCCAGCCAGTGCAAAGGCACAGAGACAGGAGACAGTGTCTTCAGTGAGGAACAGAAAGAAGGCCAATTTGGATGGATTGCAGAATTGCAGGAAGGGCAGTAATGTCCAATGAGATTGGAAAGATTGGTTGGGGCCAGCTTAGGTAAGGATTTCAAAGTTAAATAGGAGTTTCTATTGTATCCTAGAGGAAAAGAAAGCCACAATTGGTCAGATAGAGGATTAACATGGTCATATCTACATTTAAGAAAAGTTACTTTTGGCAGCCATGGATAAATGTTAAGAGGCTGGAGGCAGAAAGACCAATTAGGCTGTTGCAATGATCTAATCAGGTTAAGTCAAGTTAACAAGCATTTACTTAGAGCCTACTACTTGCCAGGCACTATACTAAATGCTGGGGATACAAAGAAAGGTAACAAACAGTTCCTGCTTTCTAGGATTTCAAAGTCTAATGGAGGAGGCAACATGCAAATGACTATGTACAAACAATATATACAGGATAAACTGAGGGCCAATGTCACTGGATCACAGAGTATATGGTAGAGAGTAAAGTGTAAGATGACTGAAAAAGTAGGAAAGGGCCTGTTTACAAAGAGCTTTAAAAGCCAAACAGAGGATTTTATATTTGGTGATGGAAGTAATAGGGAGCCACTAGAGTTAATTGAAAGGGGGAGGGTGGAGAGGGGGAGTATGAGTCATGGTCAGATTTGTGCTCTGGGAAAATCAATTTGAAAGCTGAGTGGAGGATGGACTGGAGTGGGGAGATTCTTGAGGCAGGAAGACCAACCAGAATGCTATTGTATGAGGCAATGAGAGCATGAACTAAGATCATAATTATGTGGCTAGAGAGAAGGGTTTGGGTTTGTCAAGGTAGAAACAGAAGATCTGGCAAATGATTGGGTACATGGAGTGAGGAGTCCAACATAATGTGAGATTACAAACCTGAGACACTGGAAGGATACTGATGGCTTTAACATAAATAGGGAAGCTTGGAAGAAGAGAAGGATTAGGAAGAAAGATGATGAATTCCATTTTAGGCATGTTAAGTTTAAGATGTCCCCAGGACATCCATTTCGCAGTGTACAACTGGTAATCCAGGACTGAATCTCAGGGGAGAAACTGGAGCTAGTATATCATATGTAGATTTAGGAATCATCTGCATGGAGATGATAGCATAACCCATGGGAGTCGATGAGGTTATAAAGAAAAAGAATGTAGAAGGAGATTAGAAGAGGGCCAATAACAGAACCTTGGGGAACACACAACTAGGAGGCATAATGTAGATGATAATGAGCCAGCAAAGGAGAATGAGAAGGATCTCCTGGCCTTAAAAACATTTACTAGACCCTACCATCCCCTCAAACTATCATTGTAGGGACCAATCCAGTTGTTAAAGATTCAAGAGATAGGATGATCGAGGAAGCAATCTGCTAAAATCACAGAATGAGATTCCTTAGACCTCAGAGATCATCTAGTTCAATTCAACTATGCTAGGTAATGTGAATACAAAGTTAAAAAATGAGACAACCTCCCTCTGGAGGAGCTAACATTCTGCAGTGGAGAATGTCTTTAGTCCCATCAAAGCCACATTAACCAAATCAGTAAGCATTTATTAAACACGTACTGCATTCCAGGCTTCTGCTAAGTTTTACAGATACAGAAATAAAACTTAAAGTCTCCTTGCTCAAGGAGCTCACATTCTATATAAAGAAATAACATGTACATGTATGTATATATTTATGTATATACAAGGGAAATTGGAAAGGAAAGCACTAGAAGCTGGGGATCAGGAAGAGCTTCATGTAAAAAGCAGTGCTTGAGCTGAGCTTTGAAGGAAATTAGGTATTCTAAGCGGTAGAAGTAAGGAGGGAAGGCATTCCAAGCATAGGGAATAGCTAGAACAAAGGC